TGTTTGGTTCTGGGTGGGCGGCTCCGGCTCGGGGCTGAGCTGGGCTGGGGAGAGGGATTACGGAGAGCGGCCCCCCCGTCCGTCCCCTCCACCTCCAGCTACGTCACCACAACACAACCACACGCGCTCATACTGTTGGTGTCATTCATTCAGTGCCAAGATTGCTTTAAAAAATTCCCTTGGCCCCAGTTCAAACAGGAGTACAGCTGGGATGTGTTAGATTTTAGGCAGTCTGCCCTCAATTTGAGATGAGTTATAAATAGCAGTGCCGACTTCCTTAACTACCACTCTCCGAGGTAAAATGCAGGTTAATGACTGTGGGAATCAATTAGGGCTTCTCTCGGTTAAACAGCCAGGAATGCTTTTTATTATTTTTTTATCGCAAATAACGGACAACAAAGCTGGTCAGGAAAAGATTTCAAAGCCAAGGTGGGAGCTGAGGGCTTTTCTCTTATTTTTCAGCCTTCTTATTTTTTTTGAGGGGGTCAGAGGGGGCAGCTGAAGAAACCAGTTGTGGCCAACACCCATGTTTGCCAATAACTGAGTGACGCTGATTTGAAACTGGAGAGTTCAGTAAATCACTCTCCTTCTTTTTCTTCCTCTGGCCCAATAAAATACAAATATGTAATAAGGTAATGGGGAAGGTCAGAATTCCGTTTTTCTGCACAGCTGTGGAGAGTTTGGCTCTTGCTTCTGAAGTGGGATTTGCCTCTTGCCTTTACTCACTTTCCTGACAGGACCAATAGCATGTCCTCTCCAATTTAACCAAGCCATTCATTCAAGAGGCCAAATTTCTCTTCCACCGGACAAAATCTGAAAGGAATTGTTCATGGAATCCTCTTGTCTGCCTCAAGCCTTTTTTGTTTCTTAGGGAAAACCCTGGTGTTGTTTGGAAGAAGAGCTGGTTTCAGTGCACTGCCTCATTATAGGGGCCTGACACCCTTCACATCACACAGAGTGATTTCAAGAGCTTTTGAACTCAGCAATTTCAAGCTCACTCTGGGCTTGCTGTTACAAACTCTTAGTCTAGAAATATCTTAAATTACCCCAAAAGCTCCACAGTTTCTCTGGAGCATGGGTTTCTGGTCACTCTCTTTACTCACCAAACCACACAGCTTTGTTTTTGGGAGTTTGACTGGTGGCAGGACCATGTTTTGTGAGTTTTGGTACTTACTGGTGTTGCACAACAGCAGAGATAGTGGGATTGAGGGAGAATAGAAGCAATTTCTATGAATGCAGGGAGGTGTAAGCAGGGGGTCTGGACTTCAGTGATCAAGGAGCAACACTTTCTCTCAATTATGTCTCTCTGTGGCAGGGCCTTTGCTTTTGAAGTGTAATCACAGTAATCTACTCCTGCGGTTTCCTATTGAAAGGATTTCCCATGTATCAGCCCAGAGAAGAATTTCCAGCCTTTTGCAGTCAGGGTTTGCTGTTTCCCTGTTTACCCTGCCCATCTCTGTGACGGGGCTGTGCAGAGGGGCTGTGCAGCCTCTGCTGCCCCCAGCACCCGCACAGCCCCTGCTTCAATCCCTGCATTCCAGCTTGGTCCTTTCCTTGAGGCACGTGGAGTTCAACTCCCCAAAAGGGTTTGGGGCAGCAATTCCTGATGGCTGACTCTGTGAGCCAGAGCAGCAATACCAGGTCCAGTTAAAGCCCCTTGTGTGGGATATTCTGAATTAATGGCATATTTTGAAGGAAGAAACAACACATGGCAGCATCTGAGATGTACAGGGCAACCCTGGGGAGCATGAATTAGCCTTGCTATGAGTCAGGAGCGTGTGTATGAAATAGTTCCTTCATTAGGGATTAATTGGCATTTACATTCCTCCTGGTGATAGAATTTTATCCATAAGGCTGCAATCTAGATGCTCTTGGTGTTTGTTTTTAGCACCCTCTCTGTGCTAGGGCCTGGTGGAAGGGAGGCAGCTTGAGGCACGTCGTGTCCTCCTACGCTGAGCAGCCAAGGTGACGACTTGGTCACATCCTGGAAAGATGTTTGGGGTTTGTGTTTTGGGGTTTTTTCTTTTCTCTCTCTCTTTTTTTTTTTTTTTTTTAAAGTGGCTGCATAAACAGTGGCAAATCTTTCTTGGAAGTTTTTTAGTAGTTGTCATGCTTCCTGTAGGAGTCATGGAAAAGTGAATCTTCACCTTGTTTCCTCCTCCCTGAAGAGATGGTTGGTCTTGTGGGTGACCACAGACAAGACAATCAGTGCAGGGGTGGCAGCATGTGGTGTGAGTGTATTTAGGAAAAAAAAAAAAAAACTAAAAAACCCCCGAAAAAGAACGTATTCGAGAAGCTGCCCTTGGTAGAGGGCTGCAGAGGTGAGTTACAACCAGGAGGAAGCGCGTAGCAAATGGAAAAGATGGTGAAATATTTAGTCAGTAACCCCGAAGTTGCACTTTGTCAGGTGGAAGGAAGGATGTGAGTGCTTGGGGGTGGTGAGAGCAGGCTGAAGTCAAAAGCCAGGGGCTAGGAAGGCTCCTGGTGGCCCCGTTTTTGCATACCAAAGGAGATAATGTGGGCAGGGAGAAGATGTCAGTAATGCAAGGGGATACCCACAAGGCAGGACTTGGGAAGCACCGGGGACAATTGCTGAGAAGATGTAAACACAATTTGCATCTTTGAAGGTGTATGGGAGCTCCACATGGGTGCTCCATTCAGGACTGAGGCCCTGCAGCTCTGAGGGCTCCACCAGAGCCTTCAAAGATCTCTTTTTTCTGCCCCCATGAGTGGAAGCTCCTTTTCCCAGCTGGCACAGACCCTGTGTGGGTGCCTGGCATTCCCAGGGCAGGGACCTGGGGGCTGCAGCCTCTGCGCTTGTCCCTCCCCATCTGTGAGAGCTTGGACATGAAACACAGAATAAAACTTGTTCGGGGCTGGTTGGTGTCAGTATGGATGAGAATGGGAACAGCCAGCACAGCTGAGCGTGGGAGGGCATCCACGATCTGCCTCTGCAGGGCCCTGCGCTGGCTGGGGGCAGCTTGCACAGGGTGGCCAGGTCTTCCACAGGCCTGCCAGAGCTCCAGGAGCAGCTGGGACACGCTCTCAGGCACAGGAGGTCACTCTGGGGTGTCCTGTGCAGGGCCGAGTTGGATCCTTTTGTTTGGCAGAGTCCATGGGTGCCCTGAGCAGCACAGAGCCCCTGGGCTCTGCTCTCCATCCCTTTGTGCCATATTGACACCAATTGCTCTGAGAGCCCAGTTCCTGTGGAGCCAGCACCTTTCCCTTTCCCAGCAATGGGGCTTTTCCTGCCATCCCCCCTCAGTGCCAGCCCCTGGTGCCCAGCAGAGCCCACGAGCTGCCCGTGCTGTCCCTGTGCTGGCTGCTGGCTCGGGGCTGAGCCTCCCTGGCAGCCGCCCTGCGCTGACAGCTGGGCACACAAATGTGTGCTGGGGCTCCAAGCTGTGCTGGCTGCTGGGGAGGGCTCCTCTCCAGTGCAGCATGCTGCAAGGACTCTCCTTCCTTCATTACTATGGGTTTTCTCTCCAGTGCAGCATGCTGCAAGGACTCCCCTTATTGCCATGGGGTTTCTCTCCAGTGCAGCATGCTGCAAGGACTTTCCTTCCTTCATTACCACGGGTTTCTCTCCAGTGCAGCATGCTGCAAGGACTTTCCTTCCCTTATTGCCATGGGGTTTCTCTCCAGTGCAGCATGCTGCAAGGACTCTCCTTCCTTCATTACCATGGGGTTTCTCTCCAGTGCAGCATGCTGCAAGGACTTTCATTCCTTCATTACCATGGGGTTTCTCTCCAGTGCAGCATGCTGCAAAGACTTTCCTTCCCTTATTACCATGGGGTTTCTCTCCAGTGCAGCATGCTGCAAGGGGGGTTCTGCAAACACCAGTGGAACCCTGCTCTGGTCTCCAGCGTTCTGTGGGGTTTCCAGCCTGAGCTGTGTGTGTTGTTGGCTTGTGCAGACCTGTAGGGCCGCTCCGCAAGCACCTGAGCTCAGGCAGAGAGGGTGGATCTGTACAAACACCACCCCGGGGCTGGTGGCAGGGAGGGATGGTGTAATAGAGTCCATTGTCATGGTGATCTGTGGAAAACATCTAATTGGGATTAGTTAGGTCACCAGGAGCTCAGGGAAGGATTCCCATTCAGTCCAAGGAATGGGCGTTAAGGACTGTGCTGGGATTCATTTAGAGGTCAGCATGCCAGAACAGCCCTTGCTTTGGTGGCCAAGGTGAAAAAGCCCTGTTTTGAGGTCTATAGTGTTGAGGTTTACAGTGTTTTCAGGAAATCCAATTGACTATTCCTAAACCTTGGCTCCAGGCAGGGGTAGTACAAATGAAGTCCAAGGAAAGTTACATTTCTTCACTCATTGTCTCTGCTCTAAAGCTCAGGGACCTGACTTTCGAGGCTGACAAAGTGTTTTACATGCATCTGTATAAATTTGATTTAGAAATTCTTTATTCTCCAAAAGGCAGCGGACACAAAGCACATGTAAAAAATAGATTCAAAAATGAAACTGCAGTCTTGAGGACTGTGGATGTCAGCAGCACTGCCCAGTGTTACTACATCAATGTGCATTAATTGAAATGCATAAGTGTAAATTAACAGCCTGTAGTGTTTTGGGAGACCTTGTTATATGTGAAAGAAGCAGTGTTTCTTGTGAATATTTAAATTTTCAGCCAAATTTAACTTGTTGTGGAATATCTGGACATTAAACTACTACCTGCAATGGGGATAAGCCAGTTCCACTGATAATTGATTTTTCTTGATGATCCTTCCCCCCTTGTTCCCTGTCTTGCCTCGGGAGGGATGTCAGCATTAAATGACTTCTCACTGGGCTTGTTCTTGGTGGAGTGGTGGGTTTGGGAGGGCAGCAGGAATCCTGCTGTAATTCCAAATGTAACTTTGGGCTTTAGCCCCTGGGAAGAGGCAGAGCCTCTCCTTGGCGCCAAATTGCTGAATTTCTGTGGGGTTTTTGGGTAGCTGTGATGTTTGAATGAACAATTCCTGTGTCTGGGTGTGCCTGACGTGTCCTGCATTGCCTTGCAGCCCGCGAGCCCGATGGATCAGATGGGGAAGATGAGGCCCCAGCCCTACGGAGGGAACAACCCCTACACGCAGCAGGCGGGGCCGCAGGCGGGGCCGCAGCAGGGCCACGGCTACCCCGGGCAGCCCTACGGGCCCCAGGGCCCCCAGAGATACCCCATGGCCATGCAGAGCAGGACGCAGAGTGCCATGGGCAGCATCTCCTATGCACAGCAGGTACAGCTCCACAGCCAGCCTGGGCACAGTGGCATTTCTCCAGGCTGGGTTCTGTGCCACACCTGCCTCCAGGTGGGATCCATAGCCTGGGGAATCCTTGTCTGAGAGAGGCGGTGGCAGAGCAGTGAATCCAGCAGGGGAAAAATAAATAGCAGGGGAGGGAGATCCTCTTTCTGCTGTGCTGAGTTAGAGACACAGCTGTTCTTTGCACAAGAAATGACTCCAGGTCAGTTTTGGCTCATTACATGATCCAAGTGGCGCCTGCTGGACTGTTTGCAGGATTCAAAAGGCAATGTTTTATTTTTTTTTTAATGTTTGCAGCAAGCAGTCTTTCCTTTCAATGTTACTTTTGTTAAAGGGTGGTCAGATAGAGATCCCTAAAAACTTAGCTATGATGCCTGTTAGAACTTGGTTACTGCCAAGAATAATGTCACACGTGAGTGTGTGACATGACTTCTGCTGTTTTCTAGGAAGTATCTAGGTAGTGGCAATTCCAGTGTATTTACTGCTCTTGAATTTTGCTTCTGGAGCAGAATCTGTGTGTGTGTGTGTGAAACTCCCTTGTGACTGGCTCACCTCCCTCTCTCCCCGTGCAGATGCCTCCGTACGGGCAGCAGGGCCCCAGCGCGTACGGGCAGCAGAGCCAGAGCCCCTACTACAACCAGCAGAGCCCTCACCCGCAGCAGCAGCAGCAGCAGCAGGCTCCCTACTCGCAGCAGCAGCAGCAGCAGCCCGCTCACTCGCAGCCCTCGTACCAGCAGCAGCAGCAGCAGCAGGCGCAGCCCCCGGCCCCGGCGCAGCCGCCGTACTCGCAGCCGCCGGCGCAGCCGCCCCATCAGCAGCCCCCCAGCCCGTACCCGCAGCAGGCGGCCCCGCAGCACGCCCAGGGCCAGCCCCCCTACTCCCAGCAGCAGTCCCAGTCGCCGTACCAGCAGCAGCAGGCGCAGCAGCCCGCGGCCCCCGCGGCGCTGGCACAGCCCTCCTCGTCGTACCCGCCGGCGCAGCCGCCGCAGCAGCCCTCGGCCTACGGCCAGCAGCGCTTCCCCCCGCCTCAGGTAGGCTGGCCTGCTCTGCCCCTGCTCTGGGGCACTGTGTGGGGCAAAGCTCCTGGTCAGTGCGTTGGAATTGGTTAGTTACACACAGAGAGCTGGTTACTTACACACAGAGAGCCCCTCGGCCTATGGCCAGCAGCGCTTCCCCTCGCCTCAGGTAGGCTGGCCTGCTCTGCCCCTGCTCTGGGGCACTGTGTGGGGCAAAGCTCCTGGTCAGTGCGTTGGAATTGGTTAGTTACACACAGAGAGCTGGTTAGTTACACACAGAGAGCTGGTTAGTTACACACAGAGAGCCCCTCGGCCTATGGCCAGCAGCGCTTCCCCTCGCCTCAGGTAGGCTGGCCTGCTCTGCTCCTGCTCTGGGGCACTGTGTGGGGCAAAGCTCCTGGTCGGTGTGTTGGAATAGGTTAGTTACACACAGAGAGCTGGTTAGTTGCACACAGAGTGCTGGGTGGTACAACATGGGGCAAAGCTCCTGTTCTGTATGTTAGAATTGGTTAGTTACACACAGAGAACTGAGTGGCACCACATGGGCAAAGCTGGTGGCTTCTCCTGTGGCTCGCGGAAGTGGTAACCAGCAAAAGCAAAAGTTGGCTTTGGGGAGGAGGAACAAAGCTTGGGACCTTTCAGCAAACACTGCAATGCATCCAGAGCAGCCTTTGGGAAGTGGAAGGGTTTAATTGGCTTGCCTTGTTTGTGTAAAGAGGTACCTGAAGCGAGGGTGAAGGTGAAGGTGAGGAAGCAGAGGGGCAGATCCAGGACAGCCTGTGGCAGAGTCCGTGATGAGGGAAAGCTGGGAATGGCTGTTCTGCCATGGCCCTGGACCTGTGCTCCCAGCTCTGAGCATTATCTCTGTGTGCTGCTGGCTTTCAGTGCTGGCTCTCGCCTCCTGTTTTGGGCAAATGTCACCAAGGGGACATAAATCTGCCACAGTGTGAGAATATCCCAGAGTGATTCCAGCAGAGGCCTCATTGTATTCCCATTTGTGACTTTTTTTGTGTGTGTTGATGTTTCAGGAGTTATCTCAAGACTCGTTTGGGTCCCAGGCATCCTCTGCTCCCTCAATGGCTTCCAGTAAAGGGCAAGAAGAGATGAACTTGAATCTTCAGTCCAGACCTTCCAGCCTGCCGGTGAGTGGGGCCTGGCCTGAGGGCAATCGGCAGCACAGCAGGAAAATGAGCACTGGTCCTGTTCCACGTGGAAATGGGAGCCATGGAGGCTGCCTGTGCTCTTTGCTAAGTCATTAGCTTCCTGCTTCCCACTGGAGGTTGAATGTAATTTACAAAAGTAATGGATTTGAGAGGGGAGTTTAACCCTGAGTGCTCTGGTCTGCAGGTGCTGCCTAAAGCAGTTCATTCTGTGTTCTCTATGTGCAGTGCCTGAAGTACCTCACTGCTGTCAGAGCAGGCCTTGTCCTCCAGGAAAATCCTCATTTCTACCTGATTTTCCTGTTCCTTGGCCCACTGTGGCACTCGTGAGCAATAGTGGGCTTCTCTGGTCCAGTCTGACTGAACAGTTGGTGAAAAAGACAAATCCATTGGTATCTGGAGTGAAAGATCACAGTCCTGTGTAGCTCCTTCCTTGGCAGATGGAGAATTGGATTTTCTTTGGCATCCTAAATCTGAATGTGCAGTGACCAGTTGGGGATGAGGTTAGTGCCCAGTGTTCCAGCAGGTTTGGGGCCAGAGTGGTTTGGTTTTGTATTAAAACATCAAGAAAACAGAAGGGTTGAAAGTTTGGGTTAGCTTGCACAAGTTGGTCTGTGCCTCTGGCTTGGAAGAAAAGTTTGGAGCTGCTGTGTTCCAATTTTGCTGGTAACTTTTGTTCTAACCAGTAGGAAGTGAGTGAGGTTTCATTTTTTTCTTTAGCCACTGGCTAAGTCAGTGCTGGGAGCTGCAGCTGGATTGGCCAGAGGAGTGAGCTGTGTGTAGAACTGAGTTATTTTTGCTCCCAGCCATGAGAACAGCTTTGTTACCAGCCCCTTGAAATAATGCCTTCAGATTGTGGGTACAAATTGTCACCCAAAATATAAAGTGATTCTAGTTCTGACCACCTAATGGGAGTAGTTGTGGGTTGTTGCTTTTTCTTCCCTTTTGTTTTCCCCTTTTTTTCCTTTTGGACCCTGATTACAAAGATTTAATTTGTTCTGAGGCCTGGGGGGAAAAAAAGAATCTTTTTAAATAGCATGTTTCTTTCCACTCTGCCTCTCCACAAGTTCTTCCATGTGACCCATCTTCTGGCGAGGAGCTCAGGAGAAGTGAAGGCACTGAAGTAATTGAAGCAATTGCTGTAGCTCAGAAGGGTGGGAAGTCCTTTCAGAGGCACTGCTGATGGAGCCTCCCTGGATCCCACTGATCCCTCTGCCTTGGATTATAGGAATTAGGAGCCAGGCTTTGCAGAAATGGCTCCTTCTCAGCACCAAGTGGGAGTTTGTGTTATACCTTGTGGTTAAATATATTTGGCCCTTTTCAAGTTGTCCCCTCTCCTGAGCAGTCTAAGAAAAGAAATCCATCCCAGCTGCAAGAGTGGAAGAACCTAGAAACAAGGGAATATCAGGTTTTCCTGGCTTTACCACCAAATAATTTGCATTTAAGAAATCAAGCAGTCTTTAGCTTACCCAACCCTGGTGTATTTTTGGCCTTTCTCTTCCTTAGTAGGCAAAAAATTAAAAAAAGGAGACTCACTTGTACATCTTCCATAATTCCTTGTTGTCTCTTTGGGATCCTGTAGGACAGGAGCAGCACCAGCTGAGAAGGGCTCCAGACAGGGATGCTGTGGGGTGTTCAGAGGCATCTCTGGGATGCTGGCAGCCAAATCCCTCTTTCAGTTTGCAGTGATCAATCTCCTGCACAGAGTTTGGCCTGGGGATGCTCAGGAACACAAGATCTCCATGGAAGGGCACTATCAATTTCTTTTTATCTTCCTGATATTGCTCAGTCTGTCTAGTTGAGAAAGTTTTATCCTGCTCAGGAGGATTCCCAGATCCCTGTTTTGCCATTATGGATGACTTAGAGGAGCGGAGTTTGTTTGTGGGCTTCTAATTTTATTACAGAGTTCTGAGCCCTCTCCCAGGCCTGGTGGGTGCTGTGGAGAAGCTCACTGGGTATCCTGGAACTGGGGCAAATCATGCCATGCATCATCTTTAATTAAACAGGAATCAGCCCAGCAGGAAGAGGAAAAGGAGGTTCTGGTTTTTAGGTTCTTGGGAAGTGTTGAATTTATGTGCCTTCACAAGTCCTGGGCCTTTGCACGTGGCTATTGTGCATAGTGTTCATGTTGGAATTCAGGGCAATAAAGGGAATGTTCCTTGGGCTGGAGCATCGCCCTTCAGGAGGTGCTGGTCCCCTGGCAGGGACATGGTCAGGTTGTCCAGCTCTGGGATCTGCCTGAGGAATGTCCTGTGGATCCCTCTGGGTGGAGCCTTCAGGATTCCTTCCGCAGCATCGTGGTTGTTGTGTCATTCACCAAACTTTCTCCCTGGTGCCTTGTAAAGAGCCCTGCCTCCCTGTGAGTGTCCTGGCTGCTCTCCCTTCCTGTGGCAGGCAGGCTGAGGAATTTCTCTGTAAAATTCACTCCTTCCCCAGGGAGTCTCCATCAGGATTGCAGCCAAACTAAACTTAGATTGCAATTGCACAGGAGAAGTGGAGTGGAGTATTCTGTGTCTGGGTGTGATAGAGGAATAGTGATCCTTGGGATAGATCTCTTTCTCCCAGGAGATTCCCTAGTTTCTTCTCCTTAGCAAAAAATTCTTCCTGGAGAGTTGCATCCAGTTTATTCAGTGCTAGCTTGGACTTTTGAGTCTTGGGTTTTGAGGCTAAGGAGTCACACATTTCCAGGTGAAATCTTCCTTTGTGCAGCCATGGAAGCAGCTCTGGGGGAAGCAGATTGGATCCATTTGGGTTTGGATTGCAGCTCTGCTCTGCTGCAGAGCTCTTTGGAGTGTTGGGTTTGTTGGGAGGGATTTTCTCTCTCCTTGTGGAACACGGGACAGGTTTTACCTCGCTCCAGTCTCTCTCAAGGGCTGCCTTGAAGGAGTTCCTGATGTCTTTGGGAAGGATGTGGGGCATGAGGCAGGGGTTCCACCAGGCTGTTCATCAGCCACAGAACTTGGCATCTCTGGTGTTTGAGCTCCCAGGTTGGCCCCAAAAGCCATTGATAAACCAGGAGGACACAGTCTGGCAGGATTTTGCAGGTCCTGACACAGCAAGGTCATGTTTGAATTTTTGTGGCAGCAAACTGGGCAGTTGGGGCAAAAAATTTGGAATTCCTACCCCAGAATGTTCTTAGTTTGGTCAGTGTAGTGGTGAGCCTGAGAGAGAAATCTCCTTCCTGTCCTGGACAGTTTATTTTCATCTTATTGTAGAGTGGGAACAGTTTTAACTTTAGTATTCTGCTGTTTTGCCCTAATGGGAAACCATTTTGTTTATTTAGTGATGTTTCACTCTGGTTCATCTGTGAATTTTGATCTGAAAAGGGTCCTATCAATGGCAGAAAGGATTTTAACCAACTGAAAATATTCCTGATCCAAGGTTCATTTCTGGGTGTGGGTTCTGGCCTTGGGATTTTGCAGTGTGGATTGAAGGAAATGAGGTTTTGTTGGGTGGGGAGAGGAATGAGGCTGCAGAGCTCATTTTGGCAGAAAAATCTTGTCACTGAGTGTCCCCAGCAGTTGTGGGGTGGTTTTGGTTTGATTATCTCTCCCTCAGTGGAGAAGTTGCTGAGCTGGGGCACTGGAGGCTGTCAGGAAGCCCTGCTTGGGTTCTCCATCCTTTCCAAGTGGTCATTTCAGCTGCTCTGCGAGTGCTTGAAGTGGAATAAAGTTGAGCTCTGTCAGCTGCGTCCCCTGACCTGGAAATAATCAATGCAACAGGCTGAAATGCAGCAAAAAACTGTCAGAGCTTTAAGCAGGCAGTCTGCTTCCTTAAAATTTCAGTTTAAAATGAATCATTTCGTCAACTTTTTCAGGGGGCAGGGAGAAAAAACCTTTTATAGTTGAATCTGCTGGTCACTTCAAACCCTTTTTTTTTTCCCCCAACCCTTTTTTTTTTCCCCCTCTCCTTTTTTTCTCTTTCCATATGGGACTTCCTGCTTCTGTTTGGTTTGTGTTTGGCCTTTTGAGCTCCTCTTATTGCTTGCCTTAGGAGAGGGATTAGCAGTGTGTGCATTTCAAAGCAGGGCAGCACAGTGGATATGCAGATAAAGCCACCAGCACCCCGGGCCTCCCCAGGAGCACCTGGAGCTCTGGCAGTGCAGATCCCTGCCTGCCTTCAGTTTGTGCCATCTGCAGGGTTTTATCCAGGCTGTGGTGGTTCTGTAAGGTAAAAATGTATTTTTCCTTGTTCAGTGCTCCTCTGCCCAAGGTTTGCATGTTGTGTGGCTGTGCCCAGCGTTCCTGCATGGTTCCTTGAGGAGGCCGTGCCATTTTCCCCCAAGTTTGTATATTTTGTTGGCTGTGCAGAGCATCTCCAGAGCCACCCC